GAAGACCCCCCCAAACCCCCCCCCCCCGATAAAAAAACGGTAAAAAATAGGTTATTCTCTCGTTTTACGGCTATTAGCGCAAAAGCCGTTGATTTTAAGACAGAGTTTGTGGATCTTACATGAAAGCAGATAAAAATTCGGTCTTATTTAACCCGGTTTGAAATTTTTCTGATGAAAATTGCGGTCACTACAGGGTTCTCATAGTTAGCCCAAAATTTTCAAAATTTCGTTTTTTAATGGTTTTTGGTTGTAACTGTTGTTCAGCTATTCTTTAAAGTAAGTAGATCCTTTCAAATGAAAGTAGATTCAAAATGCTACAAATTCGTGTATCAAGCTTGTCCTTAGAGCGTAACGAGACGGCACCCCGGCGTTGCAAAAGTTACCGTCTCAAAATTGATTTTCCGGGGCGGTGCAGTCCGCGCAACCACTCCACTCTTTTGCTCTACTCTAGGATTGCCTAGAATGCATAAAATCGAGTGTAATTATATAAAGTAGGGTGAATCGATGTTAAACAAAATAAAGTGTGAACTTTTTAACAGGAAAACTCATGCTAAGGAGAAAGAACAAGACAAATACTGGAGTAATACATTTACCGGACGGAAACTTTAGCATTAATCATGACTTTTCATCTATAAAAAATTTACAGTCAGTAAAATGGTTTTGAAATGCGTCTTAAACAAGTTAAAAATTGAAAAAAGATTGGGAAAGTTTCGATTACTTATACAGGTTATTAAACAAAAATCATGGGCTATCATGTACCGTTTTCGCAGAATTTAATGGAGTGGAAAAAAGTACGAGGGTCATCCAATGAGGTTCCCTACCTCTTATCTTCCAAACGGAAAGAGATAAATCAAATCGGTAAAGAAGTTCTTATAAGGCATACTCTAAGCTTTAAAAGAAGCTCAAGTTTTTTAAAATTGGTCGAGGGGTTCGCGAGGAAACTTAATTTTACTGCGACAACTTCCTGTCGCCGCGCGCCCACCTTCGGAGTCTGGATGCGCGGAGAGTCGATTATTTCAGACTTGGGTTTTCGCCGCTAAGCATCATATCAAAAAGAAATTTGAAGGTTTTTATGGAGTAGACCTTACCTTACTTTTTGACGAAGTCCCTGCCTCTGTTTTGACATTTCTGGTATCAATATTGCAGCTTCTTGATGCCTTCTGCGTAGAAGCTGGCTCTTGTCTTGGCACCGAAACCA